GAAACATTTGTTATATATTTCAATTAGAGAGTCACAGTACCTAACCAGAAGTCTACGGTGTTATCCTGCCATGTTTACTTACTGCTCCACTAACTTGTACTGTGTCAGGAAGAAAGACTGTAGTTATGACCCAAAGCTAAATATGTATTGTCCTAAAACTGTTTATATCCCACATACATACTACATTATTATAGGATAAATATACACATGAACGAACTTTATAAACACTTTGTTCTTGTGCGTACGTGTCTGTGTGTCTACGTATGTATGTGTTTTTGTGTGTATATATGTTGACGAATGTGAATGTGTCCTTGTTTATGGTGACGTACGTGAATATGTCCTTGTTTGCCTTGACGTACGTGAGTGCTTCCTTGTTTATGTTGACGTACGTGAATATGTCCTTGTTTACACAAACCACCGTTTATGTTGACTACGTGAATATGTCCTTATTTGTTGTTGTACAGATATTCCAGTGTTTAAGATAGTTTACTAGTGTTTACATGCGTGTGGGGGAGAGGATCTCCGCTAGCTTCATTACCATAAACAAATAAGAATACAAATTATAAATAAGGTTTGCTGGGTGAATGAGATAGGGAGGATCAAACAGTCGGCCCAGCAAAATTGGAGATTGGCTGGACTTTGGGAATCAATATGACCTTATCTTGTGGGGAGGAGCTGCCTATAAAGTGAGAGAGGAGGAGGAAGAGGAGGAGGATCTAAAACATGTGTGTGTGTGTGTCTGTGTGTGTGTGTGTAGTAATAATAATAATAATAATAATAATTAACGGTTTATTGAAAGAGCTTGGCAGCCAGAAGGCTGAAAATATACAGTTACATATTTGGGGAATGGGTTACGAATTACAAATAATATACAAGTAACATAAGTGACACAAATAAGACATATAATAACTAGATGGGAAAAGCTCAAACTACAGTTCATTTCAACATAGTGACAGTGTAAGGAGCAGTGTTTACTGGGAGTGAATACACTGATTTATTACAAGTTATTGATAATTTTTACAATGGTTGGGACTGGGCTGTTCTTATAGCGATCAGTTCGTGCACGTATGGGCTGGATGCGGTTGTGGTGTCGAACAGCAATTCTCGGACAAGGGATCTCAGGTGGTAGGAGCCGGTGTCGGGGATGGTGTAGAAGCTTCGTACCAAATTTGCAGATGAGGTCGTGGTGATGGTCAGTGAGAGTCGAAAGGGTCAGTGTGTTGAGCGCTTCTTGATATGTGGAGTAGGAAGGAGAATAATCTTGCATGCCCTCTTTGCACTTTCTAGGTGTTTACGTTGTGTGGCATTTAGGGAGAGGACCAGGTGGGGAGGCATAGGTGAGCTTGGATATGAATGTTGTGTAAACACTGAGGAGCTCGTGTGCAGGAACTCTGAGGGACTTGAGTCAGCGGAGGAGGTGGAGACGGAAACTGGAGGATGTGTGTGTGTGTGTGTGTGTGTGTGTGTGTGTGTGTGTGTGTGTGTGTGTGTGTGTGTGTGAAAGGGAGGGCGTTGGGAAAGTGGTGGTGGTAGTTCTGGTGGTGGTGGTGGTAGTGATGATGGGCTGAGTTAATGTTTCTTGCCTCCTCCTCTCTTCCTTCCCTTCCCTCCTCTTTCTTTCTCTCTCTCCTTTAGGTGTGTCTCAGCAAACCCCCCCACCTCTCTCCCTCCCTGCTGGCGTCAAACAGCTTCTAGTCAGTCCTTTTGAAGTGTTTATATAGCCTCTGCCTCTCGCGTATTACTGGAACCCCACACCATAACACAAAATGTATGAAGTATATCAACATTTCCAACAAAGATCATCATTCATTTGTTTTTGTTTAAAGTCTTTGAGATAACATTTAAATTCCAACTTGAAGGACTTGATATTAAAATATTTTTGTGACATTAACTCTCGATTTCCCTACGTTCGTTATTCATAAAATTGATTACGCTCCTGGGAAAACAATACACAAACAAAAAACATAAACACACAAACATACATTTTATCTAACCAAGACGCGAAGACTTTAAGACACAAGAGGAGATTAAAATAAAAACTTAAATAAAGGAGAAAGGGAGAGGAGGAAGGCTTACTTGTGTACAACAGAGAGCCTTGTTGGTGTTGGAAATTGTGGAGACTTATAGTTCAAAAGTGTGTGTGTGTGTGTGTGTGTGTGTGTGTGTGTGTGTGTGTGTGTGTGTGTGTGTGTGTGTGTGTGTGTGTGTGTGTGTGTGTGTAGTGGTGTATTGCGTCTAGTGTTAAGGTGCAGGCACTGCTTGCGTCCTCTCGCTTTCAACTACCGCCGCTGTCTAGCCCTCGTGGCGAACAGGGAAGCAACCTCGTGTAAGTCTTCCCCTGCTCCCTGCTCCCTTGCGGATTAACCTTGGTAGGAATAAGGCTACGGGAGTAAACCCTGAACGAAAAACCTGCGGTGGCACCCCGCATCAGGCTTACGGAGCTCCAATAAAACCCCAATGGCGGTATAGGCGGAAGAGGTGACCAATGTTGGAACCCAACGACTACACCAACGGATGAAGGCAATGCAACATAGACAGGCTACTAAGGCGAAACCCAACAAACTGGGCTATCGGCAGTTCATTGCAACTCTCTCCCTAGTTGTTGCAAATACCTGCACCACTGGATCAGGAAAGGGGAGAGCCAAGATGTGTGGTTGTAGCCTGCTCTCCTGCCTCACCAAATAAATAAACTCACGAGAAGCCAACATCCAGCTCATCATACTTCCCATCATCATCAAAACACTATCCCCCCAAAAGTCCTATGGTCACAGACAAGTAGAGACGGGAACATGCAGAGATGACTGCCGGGAGTCTCTAGTCACAACTCTGCACATGGGCGGCACAGATAAGATGGTCGTTTATGCACTGGGATCTAGGCAGCAATGCAATCCGGTTCTGTCTGTATGACTGAGCAGCCCTTTCGAGGAGCCACTCTGCTCACCCCACATGGGGAGGGGGCTAGAAATGGTGCCCTAAACATAGCCTGCCTAAAGAACCAACCTGACTGGTCGAAAACATTATCACAATCACACATGAAACCACAAACAAACTGAACAACCTCTTATGGTCACTGCAAGGAATGTCAGGACCCTTCTGGATACTGGCACAAATGAGCGTCCTGAAAGAAGAACGGCCCTTGTGGCAAAAGAGCTGGCTAGGTATAGCCTCGACATAGCAGCCATTAATGAGTCCCGGCTCCCAGAGACAACATTTTGTAGGACCATAAGTCCACGTCGTCGATGACTGTGTGGATACGGAAGAAAGTGATCATAGTGTTGGATGGATATATTTTCAGACAATAATTTTGTTGTTACCTTTTACTTTCAGTACTTGAGTACTTTATGAATGAGATACTTTCTTACTTCTACTTGAGTAAAATTCTGCTACTGTAACAATACTTTTACTTAAGTAACAAAGTCCGGTACTTTTTACAAGCCCCCCCCCCCGCCACACATTAAATACTCGTACTACAAAGACAAGCGTGCCATCTGTTGGTAAACAAACAACTTGTTTATGAAACCTCACTCAAAAGCTTAGATATTCTATGCCCATATACTTCCAAGTCGGTGTCTATGAACATTTGTCCGTGACGGTAACTTCCGCTAATGTAACAAAGACACGAGATCGGCAGACAGGCAGACAGACAGTTTAGACAGACCTACAGAGGGGAGCCATCTGTAAACACTAATTAATGTTAATCTTACTATAACGAAAAAGCCAGAAATTATTATTATTTTCCTCATCACAGCGAGTTGTGTTGTGTTAACTGACGCCTGTAGCTAAGAGTAGTGTGTTAGCTGAGACACGCAGCTAAGATTGATGTGTTAACTGAGCCACGCAGCTAAGATTGATGTGTTAACTGAGCCACGCAGCTAAGATTGGTGTGCTAACTGAGCCACGCAGCTAAGATTGGTGTGTTAACTGAGCCACGCAGCTAAGATTGATGTGTTAACTGAGCCACGCAGCTAAAATTGGTGCGTTAACTGGGCCACGCAGCTGAGAATTCCCACCACAGCTGAATCAGAAAGTAGCTCTGCAGGTACGTTGCAAGATTAATGCGCTCAGTCTTGGAGGCAGTTGGGTACCTGGCCTGATTCAACAGATTTGCTAAAAGCTTCTTGTAACGTGAAGTAAATTATTACAACCCGGACCTACAGTACAGCTTGATATAAATCCACCTGGAGATTGAGTATCGCATTGCCTCAGTTAGACTTCAGTGCAGGTTATCTCCGACGTGTGCACTGATAATGAGTCTCGAGGCCTGACTAACCATTTGGGACAACAAAGATACAACAACACTGTCACTCTCTCTCTCAATAACTGGTGCTAAGTTTCTAGTTAAGGTAGAGTCTCAGGTTAGTTTTGGTTCCATAGGTGACGTAGTATTTCCAGTTATGGGAAAATTTGACTTATTATTTTTTTTTACGAGAAAAATTTACTTCAAGATCATTTGAGAATCCCAAATTAGGACCTGAATAATTTACGTTTCTAACTTACAGGAGTCTCATGTTCGTCTATTAAATCGATCGTAAAATAAATTTAATCTGCTTAGCTGTTTTATAATTTGTTTTTAAGTCAAAATTCCTCATAGAAAAGGCAGAGGAATAACAACAGACGATCATTATTTTTACAGGGAGATGAGTCACATGTTATCGTAGATGAAATAATGAGAAGTCTTGTTTTCCCAACAACCTTTACGTTTACTGAGCAATTAAAACTAAGGGGTAATGGTCTAAGATCCAGATTACTATTGAGAGAGAGAGAGAGAGAGAGAGAGAGAGAGAGAGAGAGAGAGCCATACAGATTATGTCCCCTCTTAAAAGACAGTGAAAATATAAACACTATTCTCTTTATTTATGTTTTATTATTTATCTATGTAATTTTATTGTTAATTATGAGTCTCTCTCTCCTCTCTCTCTCTCTCTCTCTCTCTCTCTCTCTCTCTCTCTCTAATCTTGTTGTTGAGAATTCCACTGAAAGTTTGTATTCTCTTCCCCCAGGACAGAGAGATGACCGACCATTGCCGACCACTGAGCTGCCTCCTGCTCCTGCTACCAGCCTTAGGTGAGAGAGAAAGAGAGAGAGAGAGAGAGAGAGAGAGAGATTATTAAACGTAATTAACAGGAAATGAAATGACAAAAAAAGACAACAATATTTACACTCCGAGCTTCAGGGGTAATAGGGCTATAAGCGACATAATCTCGCCTCTAGGCAGTTTATATTACGACGATAAACACAGAAGAAGCGTTATTATGTGTGTGTGTGTGTGTGTGTGTGTGTGTGTGTGTGTGTGTGTGTGTGTGTGTGTGTGTGTGTGTGTGTGTGTGTGTGTGTGTGTGTCTATTTACAGAACATGGCAGCCAGAGGATGAAATATACAGTCAACACAGATGATAAAAGTTACATAAATAAGTAATGGATCACCTGATTGACGAATGAACACCTCTCCTTCAAGTCAATCATCTTAATCACGAAAACAAAAAAAAAAAAACACTATAATCAATACATCACCACACCTGAGGAACCAACAGACATTTAACTCACTTTAAAACAGAAATCAAACCACGTAACTATGAACGAAGAAACTCACAATATTAAAGACAAAAACAGAATGTTGTGTTTTAGTGTTATGAGGCGCCCTAATGTGTGCTGGGGGAAGCTTGATACTTGTGGCCTGTTTGTTTGTACCTGCCACTCATAAACAGGTGTACCGAGGGAAGGTGTGTTCCTTGTTGACTGAGGCGGAGAGAGAGGAGCTATGTCGCTTCCTGTTGGCAGAGAATCATTCGTGTGTTTTTGGGTGTTTGTTGAGTGTTAGGTGTGTGTGTTGTGTTAGGTGTGTGTTGTGTTAGCTGTGTGTTGTGTTAGCTGTGTGTTGTGTTAGGTGTGTGTGTTGTGTTGGGTGTGTGTTGTGTTAGGTGTGTGTTGTGTTAGCTGTGTGTTGTGTTAGCTGTGTGTTGTGTTAGTTGTGTGTTGTGTTAGGTGTGTGTTGTGTTAGCTGTGTTATGTTGGGTGTGTGTTGTGTTAGTTGTGTGTTGTGTTAGGTGTGTGTGTTGTGTTAGCTGTGTGTTGTGTGTGTTGTTAGTTGTGTGTTGTGTTGTGTGTGTTGTGTTAGGTGTGTGTTGTGTTGGTTGTGTGTTGTGTTGGTTGTGTGTTGTGTTAGGTGTGTGTTGTGTTAGGTGTGTTGTGTTGGTTGTGTGTTGTATTTGGTTATTGTTGTGTTAGTTGTGTGTTGTGTTAGTTGTGTGTTGTGTTAGTTGTGTGTGTTGTGTTAGTTGTTGTTAGGTGTGTTGTGTAGTTGTGTGTTGTGTTAGTTGTGTGTTGTGTTAGGTGTGTGTTGTGTTAGTTGTGTGTTGTGTTAGTTGTGTGTTGTGTTAGTTGTGTTGTGTTAGTTGTGTGTTGTGTTGGTTGTGTGTTGTGTTGGCTGTGTTGTGTTAGCTGTGTGTTGTGTTAGGTGTGTGTTGTGTTGGCTGTTTGTTGTGTTGGCTGTGTGTTGTGTTAGCTGTGTGTTGTGTTAGGTGTGTGTTGTGTTAGTTGTGTGTTGTGTTGGTTGTGTGTTGTGTTAGTGTGTGTTGTGTTAGCTGTGTGTTGTGTTAGCTGTGTGTTGTGTTAGGTGTGTGTTGTGTTAGTTGTGTGTTGTGTTGGTTGTGTGTTGTGTTGTTGTGTTGTGTTAGGGTGTGTGTTGTGTTAGTTGTGTGTTGTGTTAGTTGTGTGTTTGTTAGGTGGAGTGTTAGTTGTGTGTTGTGTTAGTTTGTGTTGTGTTGTTGTGTGTTGTGTTGTGTGTTGTTTAGCTGTGTGTTGTGTTAGCTGTGTGTGGTGTGTGTTGTGTTAGGTGTGTTGTGCTGTGTTGTGAGCTGTGTGTTGTGTTAGTGTGTTGTGTTAGTTGTGTGTTGTGTTAGTTGTGTGTTGTGTTAGGTGTGTGTTAGTTATAAGCTGTTAGCTGTGTGTTGTGTTAGGTGTGTGTTGTGTTAGTTGTGTGTTGTGTTGTTGTGTTGTGTTAGGGTGTGTTGTGTTGGTTGTGTGTTGTGTTAGTTGTTGTTTAGTGTGTTGTGTTAGGTGTGTGTTTGTGTAGTTGTGTGTTGTGTTAGTGTGTGTTGTGTTAGGTGTGTGTGTTGTGTTAGTTGTGTGTTGTGTTAGTTGTGTGTTGTGTTGTGTGTTGTGTTGGTGTGTGTTGTGTTGTTGAGTTGTGTGTTGTGTTAGTGTGTGTTGTGTTAGTTGTGTGTTGTGTTGTTGTGTGTTGTGTTAGGTGTGTGTTGTGTTAGGTGTGTGTTGTGTTAGGTGTGTGTTGTGTTAGTTGTGTGTTGTGTGTGTTGTGTTAGTTGTGTGTTGTGTTAACTGTGTGTTGTGTTAGTGGTGTTGTGTTAGTTGTGTGTTGTGTTAGTTGTGTGTTGTGTTAGGTGTGTGTTGTGTTAGTTGTGTGTTGTGTTTGGTTAGTGTGTGTGTTAGGTGTGTGTTGTGTTGGTGTGTGTGTTGGTTGTGTGTGTTAGTTGTGTGTTGTGTTAGTTGTGTGTTGTAAGAGTGTGTTGTGTTAGGTGTGTTGTGTTAGGTGGTGTTGTGTTAGTTGTGTGTTGTGTTAGTGTGTGTTGTGTTAGTGGTAAGGTTAGTTGTGTGTTGTGTGTTGGTTAGTTGTGTGTTGTGTTAGTTGTGTGTTGTGTTAGTGTGTTGTGTTAGTTGTGTGTTGTGTTAGTGTGTTGTGTTAGTTGTGTGTTGTGTTAGTTGTGTGTTGTGTTAGGTGTGTGTTGTGTTAGGTGTGTGTTGTGTTAGCTGTGTGTTGTGTTAGCTGTGTGTTGTGTTAGGTGTGTGTTGTGTAAGCGTGTGTGTTGTGTTAGGTGTCTGTTGTGTTAGCTGTGTGTTGTGTGCTGTGTGTTGTGTTAGGTGTGTGTTGTGTTAGGTGTGTGTTGTGTTAGTTGTGGTTTAGCTGTTGCACATTGGGATTTACTTTCTCCTAATGTTCTCTCACTTTCTAAACTACGGGAGAAATCTTCACTCCCAGACTTACTTTCACTTTCCTTGTCTTACTTACAAGAGAGGCTATAACCCTGGCTTCTCTTCTTTCACTTTCTCTGTCTATCTCTTTTTCTCCGTTGGCGATGCATTCCTGGCTTTCCCCGTCCCCCACTCTCCCTTTCTAATCTGTGAACAAGAGGCCTAAAACCCAGATATATCTACCTCCCCACTCTTCTCTCCTCGTAATCTCCCTACCTCTTCTCTCTCCCATTCTAACCACCCCAGTTCACCTTCCACCTCCCTCTCTATCTATCCCTACAAAAGACAACATGATACCTTGATTTTAACATAGTCTCTCCCTGTCTCTCTCTCTCTCTCTCGCCTGCAGGAGCCACCGTGGACAGTAAGCTTGGTGGGATATCCTCGCTGTCGAATAAGCCTCCCCTGCCAGTGAAGACCCAGAGATTCGTGAGCGTGTCCGAGGCGCACTACGACCACACCCATCACACCCACCACCACCACGAAGAGACGCCCGAGCCACTGAACTGAACAACAGTACCCGGGAGGTGTTCCTGGGTGATACAGCCACTCTGGAGTGTACCGTGCATGATCTTCTCAATGAGTCGGTGAGTATTGGGTGAATGAGCAGTCGGTGGTTGGGACTGGGTGAATAAGTCGGTGAGTCACTAGTGTTGGGTGAATGAATCAATGAGTCACTAGTTATTGGTGAATGAATCAATGAATCACTAGTATTGGGTGAATGAATCAATGAGTCACTAGTGTTGGGTAAATGAGTCAATGAGTCACTAGTACTAAATATCCTCTCTAAATGACTCACTCTGGCATAAAACTAATGACCTCTTGAATGAATCAGTGAATCAATAGACTCATAACTTACTTCAATGAGTAAAAAATTCACAAGATTTATGCGTCGGTGAGTCAGGGAGGAGGAGGAGGAGAAGGAGGAGGAGGAGGAGGAGGAGGAGGAGGAGGAGGGAGGAGGAGGAGGATGAGGGGAGGAGGAAGAGAAGGAATAGGACGAGGAGGGGAGGGGAGGAGGAGGAAGAGAAGGGGAGGAAGAAAAATGAAGAAAAGATGGAGGAAGAGAAGGAGAAGAAAAGTTTGGGAAGAGGAAGAGGAAGAGGAAGAAGGAGGTAGGCATCTTTAAACAATTCACCTGAGTCGCTTAATGGATGGTCTCTTTAATGAATCGGTCACACGCTAATTATTGGCGATGGTATTGAGTTTGTGTGTGTGTGTGTGTGTGTGTGTGTGTGTGTGTGTGTGTGTGTGTGTGTGTCGCAACCAATCCTTGAACACTTTGAACACCATTATAAATTGAACACTACACTTTGAACACCATTATACATTGAACATCATCATATGTTGAACACTATCCTTTGAACACCATTATACGTTAACACTACCCTTTGAACACCATTATATGTTGAACACTACTTTTTGAACACCAATAAACACTGTACATTACTCTCTGAACACCAGAAGTTGATTAGCAGTCTACCATACGTCGAACACACGTTGTTTACAGTAATCTACCACGAGAGAGAGAGAGAGAGAGAGAGAGAGTCTATTACTTAGTGAACATAGAGAAAGACAAAAAAAATTAATTTGTTCACAAGGATTTTATAAAACATGGATTTTCTAATTCTGTGTCTGTCTGTCTCCCCGTCTCTCCTTTTCTGCGTCCGTATGTCTGTCTGTTTCTTCCTTTCACTGTCTCTTTTCGTCTGTTTCTCTTTGTCTCTTTCTCTTAATGTATATCTCACTTATTCTTTCTCTCGCTGACTCTCTTTCTATCTGTTTGCCTGTCTATCTATCTGTCTCTCTGCCTGTCTCTTTCACTGTACTGTATTTCTTTCTGTTTGTTTGGTATCGGTGTTTTTACTTTCCTTCTTTGTGTATGTGTGTGTGTGTGTGTGTGTGTGTGTGTGTGTGTGTGTGTGTGTGTGTGTGTGTGTGTGTGTGTGTGTGTGTGTGTGTGTGTGTGTGTGTGTGTGTGTGTGTGTGTGTGTGTGTGTGTGTGTGTGTGTGTGTGTGTGTGTGTGTGTGTGTGTGTGTGTGTGTGTGTGTGTGTGGGTGTGTGTGTCTCGTTCCAATCGTTGAAGAGGAAACATAAAACCTAGGAACACTAAACTTAACACACCGCAGCTGACCTTCTATAAAACTATTGATGAAACCATTAACTTTACCTGGAGATCACCGCCCATTATTCTTACTCCGCCGGAATCAATTGCCTCTTTAACCTCCTCAAAGTCTCGATACTATCACAACCACTCAGGAACATTTTTTGTGATAATGTGTGTGTGTGTGTATCTGTGTGTGTGTGTGTGTGGGGTATGGTATGCAAGTGTATGCAAATGCAAGTTGGTAGAGTATGTATAACGTGCCTGTGTGTATATGTATATGTGTGTGCGTGCATGAACGTTAAAGTGCAACACAGACACCACAGAAAGGAAATTTACATGTATAGTGGATGGATGAAATACGAAAGAATGTTACGGAAAAAAAAAGAAAAAATAAATAAATTCGCTGTTGTGGAATATCCTGAGCAAAATACAGTGCAAAACAATGAAATAAATGTCACCATGAATTATATGACGAGTGATGCGTGGAACAAAAGGTTTACATTGTGGAACTTAGAGCACGGGCAGGATAGAGGTACATTTGTTTATCGTGTCACTAGTAGCACGGCAGGATAGAGGTACATTTGTTTATCGTGTCACTTGTAGCACGGCAGGATAGAGGTACATTTGTTTATCGTGTCACTAATAGCACGGCAGGATAGAGGTACATTTGTTTATCGTGTCACTAGTAGCACGGGCAGGAGAGAGGTACATTTGTTTATCGTGTCACTAGTAGCACGGCAGGATAGAGGTACATTTATCGTGTCACTAGTAGCACGGCAGGATAGAGGTACATTTGTTTATCGTGTCGCTTGTAGCACGGCAGGATAGAGGAACATTTGTTTATCGTGTCACTTGTAGCACGGCAGGATAGAGGTACATTTGTTTATCGTGTCACTTGTAGCACGGCAGGATAGAGGAACATTTGTTTATCGTGTCACTTGTAGCACGGCAGGATAGAGTACATTTGTTTATCGTGTCACTTGTAGCACGGCAGGATAGAGGAACATTTGTTTATCGTGTCACTTGTAGCACGGCAGGATAGAGGAACATTTGTTTATCGTGTCACTTGTAGCACGGCAGGATAGAGGTACATTTGTTTATCGTGTCACTTGTAGCACGGCAGGATAGAGGAACATTTGTTTATCGTGTCACTTGTAGCACGGCAGGATAGAGGTACATTTGTTTATCGTGTCAATTTGTAGCACGGCAGGATAGAGGTACATTTGTTTATCGTGTCACTTGTAGCACATATATGGTGCAACCGATTTTTTTTCATATAAATACATCTGAAAATTCAATGAGCTATTTACATCACTTTATAACTCTGAAGGCCCACCATAGCACCTATAGAAACAGTGATTAGCTCTATACTACTTCATAGGCAATTAACTCATTGATGTTTACTCACTCAAAAGGTATTAATTAGCTCACAAGTGTTAATTAGCTCACAGGTATTAGTTAACTCACAGGTATCAACTCGTACCAACCTCACCTTGAGCTATACAACAATGAGATATACAATATCTTTCCTATCTTAGTGTTACCCCAAGCGGTTTAGTCTTCATCTCACAAAACGAAAATATAATCCGCTTTCATTTTCCTTTAGCGCCACAAATCGTTTCACATTCAACTCACAAATGGATGTAAATAAAGTGTGTGTGTGTGTGTGTGTGTGTGTGTGTGTGTGTGTGTGTGTGTGTGTGTGTGTGTGTGTGTGTGTGTGTGTGTGTGTATAATAATAATAATAATAATAATTAACGGTTTATTGAAGTTCTGCAGCCCGAAGGCTGAAAATATACATTAGCATAAATGACTTATTACATACATTGGTGGTTTAACAAAAGCCTTCATTAGAGAAAGGTAAAGGAACACAGTGAACATACAGATTAATGAAGGTGTTGAACAGCAAAACGTAGTGTAGTAATCCTCCCAGATGGTGTTAGGAGGGACCTCACGTGGTGTAGTAATTCCCCACAGATGGTGTTATGAGGCCTCACGTGGTGTAGTACCCTCACAGATGTGTTATGGGGCCTATTTAGTACACAGATGTGTGTGTGTGTGTGTGTGTGTGTGTGTGTGTGTGTGTGTGTGTGTGTGTGTGTGTGTGTGTGTGTGTGTGTGTGGCTTCTAAAAACACTAGTATACAAACGATGCTTTACTGTATAAGAACAAAAACAAATAAAGCAAAACATGGAAAATAAAATAAACATAAAAACACACCTACCACACACACACACCACACCACAACACACACCCACACACCACACACCACATTACACACCACACACCACACACCACACACCACACACCACATTGCCACAAAACAGAACAAACAAATAACACAACGAAAAAAAACAAAAACATTACCTTTAAACTCTAATGTAAATGTAAATGTAAATAACCCATAAAAATGTAAATAAAACAGAGGTCAGAGTAAACTATGGAGGTCACCCGAGGGAGTCTTTGATTTACATGTTAAAAAAGATTTACACTTAAGTTAACATGGAGGCATTATACAGGGCGCTAGAACCAGGTTGTGAAAACAATGTCTGAAATATTTATCTGACTGAATAGTGGATCTGTCTTGTGTGTGTGTGTGTGTGTGTGTGTGTGTGTGTGTGTGTGTGTGTGTGTGTGTGTGTGTGTGTGTGTGTGTGTGTGTTGTTGTTGTGTGTTTTTTTGTTTTGTGTGTGTGTGTGTGTGTGTGTGTGTGTGTGTGTGTGTGTGTGTGTGTGTGTGTGTGTGTGTGTGTGTGTGTGTGTGTGTGTGTGTGTGTGTGTGTGTGTGTGTGTGTGTGTGTGTGTGTGTGTGTGTGTGTGTGTGTATTGTGTGTACGTCAGTTGTATGTCGTAGTATACGAAGGTCCCAGAGTACTACCCAACAAATGTGTTGAGTACTTAAAGCAGATGTTCCAGAGTACTCACAGCAGGTGTTATATGTTACAGGTGTCATGGATGCGACAGGTGGACGAGGTGAAGCTCCTCACCTACACACACACCTATGTTAAAGACGACAGGAAGATGGGCCTGGGGTGAGGGGAGGTGAGAAGGGAGGAGGAAGAGAGGGGCAACAGGGAGATGGGTGGGTGGAGGGAAAGAAGGAAGGAAGGAAGGAAGGAAGGAAGGAAGGGAGGGAGGGAGGAGGGAGAGGGAGGAGAGGAGGAGGAGGATCAGGAGAACAGACAGACAGACAGAAGATAGATAGATATATAGATAGATAGATAGATAGATAGATAGATAGATAGATAGATAGATAGATAGATAGATAGATAGATAGATAGATAGATACACATCTATGCAATTAATAGAAGACTTACGTCCTAAAAATTTAATATAATTCAATACTTAACCTATGTACACAAAGTTCTCCTACAAGAGTCAATAAGAAAGTTGGGGTTGTATTATCAAGAAGGATTATATGTATTTGTTCTTCAGATTAACATTTGCGTTTGACTGAAAAAAGTAAATTACGCGGATCTGAGTTGAGATTACGTGATCAAATACTCTTCTCGCGTCTCAATAATGCATTTTTTTTTAATTACCTCAGATGACATAGACGTAAATCACTTCTCTGTGACTTAATTTGACGTTGTGATTGTAGAAAAATAGTTAGTTAACATATGATGAAAATGTATGTATGCGGCGGCCGAGTGGATACAACGCTCATCTCCTGTCCTAAAGGTCACTGGTTCGATCTCTGGGTATCAACAGTCCACTCATCTGTGAAATAAAGGTCTGTCGAGTGTAGTGTTGGTCACGTTGCCTCTTCGTGTACTGGGGAAAAAAGTTTACTCTGTAGTGTTTCACATTCTCACTGTCCCTGAAACACCATCAATTCAGCCTTACGGTACCAATTTTCACACCGTGTGGATATTGATGCATGTGTACCTGTACCTGTAAACTTGTTCGTACGTGTATTTGTGCGTGTACCTGTTTGTGTTTGTTTTTATGGAAATGTTACTAGAATTTTTTTAGAGTTAAGTTGTTTGTGAGGGATGATACACGTCTGCCTCATAGCTCCTCCGCCCCCAACACACACACACACACACACACACACACACACACACACACACACACACACACACACACACATCTCCTCCGATAACTTTCTGCGCAAAAATTTCTCCGTGATAATTTGACAGGTGTATTAAGAGTAGCCTAGGGCGGTGGTCGCTCTCCTCCTCCTTCCCTAAATACGACCCAAACTTCAACAAAACCAGATAAAAGAAGTTAGTGGACCTCCACTTTCTTGCAACACCACTTGGCACGTTGTCAGAAATGCCTCGCCTCACCACTGGCCAAGCTCCAACACGGCCGCTATCACACCCCCGCCACCCTTCACAATTACTCAACTAATTACTACTCATTGTGGGTCAAGTTTACACCACCAAACTTTTTCTATTAGTTTTTTTGGCTATTTTTGGCTGGTACTTTTCCCGAACTTCTTTCGTAACTTTTATTATCGGTATTTATGTTATTGTCACAAACAAAACCTCAAATTATCAGCAGCAACAAGATAAAAAAAAAACATTAAAAAAAGAAACTCAGTATTTTCTCTTTTCTTTTGTTTTTGTTAAACTTTATGAAGTTTTCTAATACTATCAAAACTACATCATTCGGTAGTTACTGACGGAGACCAAGATAACTTTATCACTTCTCTGGGATCATCTTAAGTTTATTTCGCGTGAAGATTAAATTCCCTAATGCTGCCTGGGAGAGAATTAAGTTAAGTTAGGTTAGGTTAGGTTACGTTGATTAGGTTAGGTTAATTAGATTAGGTTAACGTGAGGGTGGTTAATCTTCAAGCAATCCAAAGCGAATCAAATAAGACCGACGATTCGTTTAGGGGCAATGCGGATACAGCACACTGACTACTAATCCTTCGGTAACATACACAAAGAGAAAATATGACCGGTACTTCATTCTATCGTCATTTAGAGCTGAGGTGAACTAGGAGGGCCCCGGGAACGAATCGGCGAACCTTAAAACAAAAGAAAAGTAATGTTGTATCCAGTAACGTTGATAGTTGGCGTGGTCTCGAAATAACCAATAAACAGCAACTATCTTTAAATGTTGGAAATACGTCAATTTGGTTAAGATTTTCCTCTTTTATTTACACGGGTCCCTATCACGGCGCTCCTCTACACGGTGTTAGCTACAATACGACATCACTCACAACACATCAATCGAAACACACTATCACGAACACCACAATATCAACCTTATTCACAACACAACGATACAACAAAACATCCACAACATAACATCACTCACAACACAACACATCATCCACAACACAACACATCACCCACAACACACCGACACCATAACATCACTCACAACACAACACATCACCCACAACACACCGACACCATAACATCACTCACAACACAACACATCACCGACAACACACCGACACCATAACATCACTCACAACACAACATCATCGTCTGGTCTATCATTGTAATATTTTCCCCAACACAAACATCAAGTGAAATGTGTTAAGAGGAATACAGGTAACCACACCAACACCTATAAACACACCTGGTGAGATTAATTAATGTTTACGGTGGCAGTGTGAGTGTTGAGTGGTCCCAGTCTTGTTGTAGGTCAGTTCAGTGTTAACTTTTAGTCCTTTTTTTGTGTATAAGAAATATTATAAAGATGGTACATGATGTAGGAAATGTTGGTGTTGAACTGCTTGTATGTGTAAAAAAAATCTTAAGTGTATGTATTCTGTTAGTGAGATGTCTTTTCTGTCTGTCTGTCTGTCTCTCTGTCCGTGTCTATCTATACATCTGTTGTCTGTCTGTGTCTATCTATCTATCTATCCATCTCTCTGTCTGTCTGTCTGTCTCCGACCTCCGGGTGCTCGTGACCCCCAGATATCTACCGTCCTGCTGCTGACCGAGGCTGCCAACGTTTCACGATCAGCTGAACATTTTAGATATTTATCATGGCTGCGAGTCACTAAACTGAGAACGTTTGCGGCGTAATGTTGAGGGCGGAGAAATACTGCCAGTGGAACGGGAGTCATGATGCCTTCCTAACTTTCCCGGGAGACCTTTACCCTCAGCCATAATGGACACCCATTTTGGAAATATTCCTTTTCCACATTTTTGGGGGAAACTGAAATGGGAAAAACTGAAAGATTCTAGTCAAATATATCTCCTTTTCCTCTCTATACCAGGTAAAACTAACACCAACCCTCTGCAAAATATTTTGAGGAAAATATGTTGACTTGTCACGTTTACTCTCCTGAGGCGGAGTTTTATGAGTGAGCGTGACCTCTGACCTCACTTGAAGACATAATGACGTAATTTATGAGGTCGGGAGCTGCTGGGGTTTATATATGTGGAAGGTAAGTCATTCTCTGCTGTGGGGTAAGACAAGTCTCTCCACAGCTGAGCTAACTTGATACCACAGCTGACCTACCCACCCACACGAACACTCACTCACCCACCCACCCACCTGCACACACACACACACACACACACACACACACACACACACACACACACACTAAAACTCATAGTAACCTAAACTGTTACGTTGTGAGACAGGTACCGGCTAGTGCACGAGGCAGGAGACAGATGGCAGCGCTGGCAGCTGGTCATAGGAAACGTTCAAACACAGGACGTGGGGGAGTACCGCTGTCAAGTGGCCACCACGCCCCCCCTCATCATGGACGTCACACTCAGTGTAACAGGTGAGTTGACCCTTCCTCCTGTTACGTCTTGGCGTTACGGGATTTATTTTGGTGTTACTTTAGCTATAGGGTCTAGTTTAGCGTTACTCGATTGTTACAGGGTTCATTTTAGTGTTACTTGAGTGTTATAGTGTTCATTTTAGTGTTACTTGAGTGCTACAGGATTCATTTTAGTGTTATTTGAGTGTTACGAGGTTTAGTTTAGTGTTACTTAAGTGTTACAAGGTGTTTTTTGGTGTTACTTGAATGTTTAGTTTATTTTAGTGTAACTTGCAAGTTAATTTTTTTTTTGTTAATTGAGTATTACGGGGTCCATTTTGGTGTTACTTGGGTGTTAATGGGTATATTTTCATGTTACTTAAGTGTTACAAGGTTTATCTTAGTGTTACTTGAGAGTTACAGACGTGAGTTAGGATTATATTTGGGTGTTACTTTCCACATATAATATTTACGAAAAATAAAAACTGCATCTCTCTCTCTCTCTCTCTCTCTCAATCTCTCTCTCTCCCTCCCCTCTTTCTTTCTCCTTCTCTCTTTCTCCGTCTTTCTCTTTTTCTCTCAGTATTTTTTTATATATCTGTCTTACCCTGTCTGTTTTCTTCTGTCTCTTTCGCACTGTCTGTCTGTCTGTCTCTCTCTCTCACACACACACACATCGTCTGTCATGACATAGAGAATTTAGGTCATACAGGGAGTTAACTTTTATGCCAGAGTTTGCTTTCAACTTTTGCTCTGAGCTGCTTGTTGAGGCGAGTCATGTCTAATGAACACACACACCTGGCTGTTACGACGACGTGAGATATAATGGTCCAGGTGTGTTGACGTGATAGTGACGAGTGAGGACACCATGAACCTTTGTCCATCGTGTTTTTCCTGTGATGCTGATTGGAAAAAAAATGTCTCTTTCAAATGGTGTGTGTGTGTGTGTGTGTGTGTGTGTGTGTGTGTGTGTGTGCTTGCATATGTCTGTCTGTCTGTCTGTATGTATCTGTCTCTCAGAAAGTTTCAAGAGTTTCATGGTAGTTTCCCTCAGTTGCAGGTTTATATAATTTTTTTTCTCATCCCATTCTAAATATTTCTTTCCTAATCTGTTTCTTTTTTTTTCTTTTCTTCTTTTTCCGTCTCTTTTTACTCTTTTATAAACAAATATATTTTTCTTCTTCTTTTCCTCATCTCTTTGATCGCGATACTTGGCGATTTTAGTTTGAGAATTTCTATGACTCGATCCTGTGAAGAATTTTGCGAAAGCCTTTGGCATACTGAGGACTTATTTAGTAATTTTTCTCTTCACAGCAAAGAGTTGAAAGACACAAGTGTGAATTAGAAAAATGGTTTAACGAGAACATCACCGCGCGGTTTTATCTCGTTAAAATGTTTTAGTATTAGTTTGTCATGTTTTAGCGTAGTTTATCACGTGACTTGAAAATTGTGAATCAAAGGAACCTCAACGGTGTCACACTCCCACACAGCTACAGCCTAAATCATCGTCCTGAAAGAGTAAATTTGTATTTTAAGTTTGAACGGTAGTCAGTTGTAAAGCTCTCTCACTATCTCACTTCTCAGCTCTCACCCTGCACACTCTCACAGAGCCGAGGGCGCGGGTGGTGGACGAGAGAGGTGAGGAGGTCAGAGAGAAACACTACAACAGCGGCAGTATGATAGAACTCAAGTGTGTCATCGACCAGGTGCCCTTCCCACCTGGCCCCGTCACCTGGCGCAGGGGAGCTACCACCCTCTCCTTCAACACCTCCAGGGGAGGCATCAGGTGAGTCCCCTGGGTCACCTTCACCCACCCACACCCCTTACCTATTTCACCCACAGGGGAGGAAGCGGGTGAGTTTATCGCGTTACTCACTTCCTATTAACCTTATGTGTCAGAGAGAACACTTTACCCCGCCTCTCTCTCACTTTATTACGACTCTCTCTTTGTTTTTCATTGTGTATTTAGAAACATGTAACTTTAGATGCATGTTACACTAAATAGGGATAATTGGCGATTAAATTTTAAAAAGCAAATTTTGGTTTTGCTAAATAGGAATAATTTTTTTATCATTACAACATAATAGAAATTAATTCGTATATGGTAAATTTGGTTCTGTTTCATTTAAGACGTCATTTACCGTTAAGAGAGAGCCAATTTATACCCAAACTATGTTAGGTTACCTAAGGTTAGTTTTGGTTAGGTTGAGGTTTCTATGAAACTTTTCATTTAAATGCACGTCTACACGATCATCTATGGCCAGTCAGTTGATTCCCGACTAGTGAGGTATTGTTTATATATGGAAGTCCGCGTGTATATGGACTGCTTTATTGGGCTAATGAAATATATATATATATATATATATATATATATATATATATATATATATATATATATATATATATATATATATATATATATATATATATATATATATATATATATATATATTTCGTAGATCCTCAATGGAAACGTGGATAAGATAAATCTTGATAAAATCACACAGGAAAAAGGGAAACAATGGAGCACCTTAGCTTTGACCTGACCTCATATTTTGTAATGTCACTCTGTGTACATGCCTCTCTCAGTCCTTTAATTCAGTTGCCTACAAGATGTGATTAAAGACAAGCTGACATGTTCCCTTTTTCTATGTGATATTATGCATATATATATATATATATATATATATATATACATATATATATATATATATATATATATATATATATATATATATATATATATATATATATATATATATATATATATATATATATATATATATATATATAGACTAACAATTGTTTATGAAATAAAACTATGTCGAAGACTATCACGGTGACAAAATAAATAAATATGAGAGAGGAGTTGGTGCTACAGGCCTCGGGGGTATTATGTGGTGTTGAGAAATAATGAAGACCGTGGAGCAGCGAGTCTGGTGACGAGACCTGAAAACTTATTGACGATATTCGTCCCAAAGCAACTTACGACCAAAGATACTTAACTAATCCTTTTATGTGGTTTTAGAGAATATAGAAAAGTTTTAACCAATAATATCAAATACCACACCTCTCCCTCCCACCCACCCACCCCCCAAAAATGTCTTTGAAATGTGTCACGTATAGCACAACACCCGAACAAGACCACGCACGCTGATGTCTTCTTCAAAAGCTAGACCTTGAACCTTGACCTCTTGACGTCAACTTCAGGAAATGTCGTTGCGAATAAATGTGTCAAGCAGGAAGGTTGTAGCTGTTCCTGACCCCGGGTGTACAGTTGGCCTATATAAAACATTGATATGACAGCGTTAACGAAATGATCAGAGTAAACTTGATACAAAATACATGGTTTATAGGTTAGGTTGGTACCCGTGACACTTGTTTGGGTTATATTGGCACCCCTGACACCTGTTTGGGTTATATTGGCACCCCTGACACCTGTTTAGGTTATGATGTTGGCACCCCTAACACCTGTTTGTGGTTATGTTGGCACCCCTGACACCTGTTTGTGGTTATGTTGGCACCCCTGACACCTGTTTGGGTTATGTTGGCACCCCTGACACCTGTTTGTTGAAGATGTATAATGACCATAATGTGGCAACACTATTTTATGCATAATTCATTCTATTCTACTCTATTTTTTATTCACTTAAGTAAAGTAACAAAAGTCACATTTATATCGTCTAATATATTTTTTTACACAAATTTATTTCCAATGACGACAACAGCGATGATTAAAGCTTAGCTCCCTCGTCTGTGTCTCCATAAAGGGATATACTACCATCACAGAGAACTAGTTACCACATATCATATTTACATTTCATTCACGATGTTTACAATGACAACACCGTAGTAATTGTTGTGTTTTCGTTATGAAGGATGGAAGAAGTGTCAACCAATAAGGGTACAGTCACTCAAAAAACTATCTATACAAAATTGTGTTGAAAAGATGTGACAAAACGGACGAAGAATTTTGGCAACCCTATTGGGACAACAGGAGTCGCAGTGTTCATTCTGAAATTCATCGATCACCCCAAGTAGAGATATTTTTTGGGGTGACTGTACATACATTTACTCACCTGAATTGAACATCTAATGACAGGAAAGGTAAGAATGTGTGCTGACTCGGCATTGTTGAACTAACTAATACAATGTTTTGTGATTGACACGAGACAACAGAGTATTTTTTGATAAGGATAATCCAGTTTATTATTTTACACGAATGAAAGTCAGGCTATATAATCCACACCAATATTATATAAACTCGTATAAGCTATTGTACCTTTCCCAACCAATCTATTATTAAGTTCTTTTATACACTATTATACTTGCATAAAGATGTATGAAATAATATACCAAACAAGACTCAAATTACATGATGAAATACAGGGACCTACAAAATAATATTGTCAGTCAGTGTGTCTTTCCTAGGCAAGTAACTATCACAGTCTTTTACACTCTAGCAAACAAAATACTTCCATCAACACATACACACAGGTCAGTGGGAGGTGTTTTTTTTAATAGCTGACGGCAGTTTGTTATATTGTGGATGGTTGATTGTTTATCTATAGGTGTGTGTGTGTGTGTGTGTGTGTGTGTTTAATGTCACCGTGAACGTATGATCATGTGCGTGTGAACGTGTTTTGTATACAAGTGTGGGGTAACATCCCCTGCTGGACATAATAATTGTAGAATTAAAACTCATTCTCGTGTTTAAAAGCCAACCAGTTGTTTTATACTAAATGTGAATTTCTCTTCACTGTTTGCATACATATGAAGCCTAATGTGTTTTTGTCCGTGAGTGTGTCTGGTTATGTGTTCAGGATTTCTTTTAGTGTGTGTACTGCATGTGTGTGTTTTAGTGTGTGTATACCTTTATATGTTCATTTGTGTGTGTGTGTGTGTGTGTGTGTGTGTGTGTGTGTACATGTTCATATTTTTTGTGTGCATGTGTCACTGCAACTGCAACGCCACTTATAAGCTACACAGACTGGCGGCCTCGAAGTTCCTAACCGACAACTTCGCTGGGTCCATCCCTCCACCATACAAACCAGCCAAGTCAACGCTTACCCCCGAACACGTTAGCATGGATTAAGTTGTTGTTCTTTCATTAGTATAAGTTTTTGTCCACTTATTACTGTGTTTTCATTACCTCAGATACATACACTGATCACCACCAGAGTCATTATCATAAAGTTATCCTGGAAGTCACAAGAAGAGTCTAACTTGCCTGAACATTAGATTTATTCACGTTCACTAGAAATCCAAACCGTGACACACGCACACACACACACACACACACACACACACACACACACACACACACACAAACTCCGATACCCTCATCGGCGGCGTGAGGGAAGGGAAGGGGGAGACTTTACTACAGACAGTGACGGGAACACAGGCGACCACAAAGATGGTGTAAGGATAAGGAGTGGGTCCGACGTCCGCGTGAACGAGTGAGGGCATCACGTTGACTCACTGATAAGGGAGAGACACTGACGTCCTCAAAGATGGAGGGGAAGAGTAACGTTCCTTTAAACCTGTTGTGGGATGCGAAGGATTCCAGACTTACAGTAGCTGATGAATAAAACGATAATCAATAAATATGATAACTTAGACGTACAGTACCTGAGATATGGTGTGCTAATGTCCCTTGAAGAGCTGCTTTAACTTCCACTTACCTGGAAAAAGAAAAGAAATAATACAGATGAGATTACCTGCCATCTGTCCCACACAAACACCTACGAGTATATGATTAGTAACACTTGCAAGAACAACTTATAATAATGTACCTGGGGTTGGGGGGGGGGGGCTGTGTGCACGAAAACTACCCAATATCACTTATTTTTTGTTTTGTGAAAGGAACATCTAAACTAAAGGAACATCTAAACTACAAAATAAGAAAATGAAGGGTGGACATTCCGTAACCCGGCAATAAGGGAGAAATTCAAGATGGCCGCCACAACATTGCGATACAGTATATGTTTTTGTTCATATCTCCGCTTCTACTCATCATAGGAACATGTTTTGGGTGTCAATATAGAGGTTTTCGTGGGAAAGGATTCCAAATATACCAACTAAATTTATGTAAGATCACTGTAAATAAAGTTTCCTAGATATGACTGCCAATATGGTGTCTTTTATGGTGATGAAATGTAAGATACTGTACTGTGTGGTATATCACAAAAGCTTTATTTAAATTAGTTTTAAAAGAAAAGAACAAATTTAAAACAATGTTTCCAGAATAACAACAACAGTACTGTATTTATTATACACAGAGTAATAATTGCTCAGTATAATCCGCCATGTGTTTGTAAAATATTTGGTCTGAAACATAATTTCATGAACAATTTATGTCTTGTTTATACAATAGCAATAAATAAACAACTGAAAATGTTACTTATTACTACTGTGAGTACCATGTACAGTACAAGTACCGATGTGGGTACAACATAGCTAGCAGTAGAGGTATCGGTACAGGTACACTTACCGCGTCTTATGTTCTAAAACCCATAGGAAGAATTTAGGTAAAGTTTCCCGTCAATGTCGATGAAGCTTCGAGGCTCGAGTCTGAACCACCAAAATTAGTCTCTTTGTTTACCAACAGATGACGCTCATACCTGTACTATTATTACAGAATAATATTAAGAGAGAAGTTTAACACTTCTCAAAGTGTGCTTGTCGTTATTCAGTAAATTATTTGTCATTCATCACACAGTATCTAGTCTATTTTGCCTGACCATAAGATTTGTAGATTTACGAACTGAAACTACTGTTTGTCTGATACGCGGAGCACCTACGGGAAGTGATAGCTCATAACGGTGGCTGGACAATATTATTCATTTCATGGAATTTAAAACGAAATTATAATTTGTATCAATTTTTATTCCCCAAACACAACTGTCTAATTCTTGATCAGCAACCTGCCACGTCCCAGATACAAACGTAATATAGACCTCAGTATATGATAACAATTGTATCATCATGAAATCTCTATAAAATTTTAATTCGCAATTCTACAAACTATATAGTGAGGCAACATATGAGATAATTATCAAGTGGACGAGGGGTTCTATTGCCTGCAAGTCCCTTGATTTTAAACTTTATTTCGGTGTTAAACCAATGTAATTTACATATCAGTAACATGGCAGATCCCATGTAGATATTGTGAACAACATGAGTAGGGTTGTCGCCCGCTGGGGTGTAATAAATGAATTAATTAATGATAATAATAATGAACAACATGAGTAGGAATATTGTGACACTCAGTAAGAAACTTCCTAATGGTGAACTGTCCATTTCATGTATATTTCAGAGTTATTGTAATTATGAGCCAGTGGCTTCTACCCAGCACGATACATACATCAATGAACTTCTTTTAATACTGAAGTATCTACAGTAGTATGCCATACGAGGACGACTCCCTACCTCCATCTCTAGCTGCTACTGATACGGCGAGCAGGCGTACCAGCTTATGTTTTCACTGGGGATCATATCAAAGCGTTTCAAATTGTAGCTCTAAGTACAGCTAGAGAGACAGTGAGATAATCTGACAGAGAGACACGGACTAAAGGATACAGGGACAGAGAGATACACATACAGAGACACGTGTGGATAGACTCTCCCAGTTCTCATGACTGAAGACGTAGCCAGGTGGGGTCATTTTATCTATAATTTAATTGCTGTTTGACGTAGCTTAAATGAGGTTGTTAAGATGCGGTGTAACAACCCTAGTTAGAGGAAGCTTTAGCACACGAATCACAGTGAATCACGGTCTTGATCCTCACACGAGAGCAGCCGCATTGTTGTTCTCGCTTTTGCAGGTAAAGTGAATTACAGTAATTAAGGTGTTCTTGTCGTTAGTACACAACAGAGAGAGGGGGAAAGGGACCCTGTCAGGGTGGCTACAGCTCTATTGTTCCGTGTTGAGCTACAAATAGTGTTTTTCACTACTGGTTTTGTCCTGCAGGGAAGGGGGGGGGGGAGGGGGGGTAGAGAGAGGATTGTTCAGTTAGATATAGCTATGATTCACCCTCAGAGGCAGCTGTAACACCTGCAACAACTCTCACACTGATCAGAAAAGGGAGTTTGGTGTAAGCTTTTTCTCGCTAGAATTCTGTCATTTCATCTTCCTGTTTCTTCTACCGCCTGAGCAGGGTCTTGATTTTTCTCCCATCCACTGCATGAAAGACGACGCATCCTTCAGTGTTCCTGTATCCGTCGTGTGGCCGCCGGCAGAGTTTGGCAGTGGGTTCTCCCCATCACAGTTTCTTCTACCTTCCTACCACTACCACCTCCTGAATCTCACCATTTGTTTCGTCGTCTTCCTCCACAGTGTGAAGGGCGACGCGGCCTCGGGGTTCATCGCTAGCCGCCTCTATGTGGCCAATGCTGCTCCCACAGACTCCGGCCGCTACTCCTGCTGGTACGCCAACTACACCAGCGACACCGTCACCGTCCATGTTATAGCGGGTGAGTGTATTACGCCTCCGGGTACACCTATAGTATACTGAATACACCTATAGTAATACTGCCTCCACCTACAGTACACCGGTTACACCTCCGATACACATGCTTACCCTATAAACACCTATACACAGAGTCGATACATCACTATACCTCTAATACACAACTTACACATCCCTCAAACCTACGGAACACGCTAGTTACACCCACACACAGTTACCACAAGTTGACAAGTGTTGATGTAAATATCATATGAGAAGTAGATTGTCAGAAAGGATGACTCACTAGGCAGAATAAAAACAAACAGTGAAGGGATAATCTGACACAAGCTCTGACAGTCTCCACGCTTGGTAGGCAAATACTGATATCAAAAGAGGATATTATACTCAGAGATGTAGAGTCTACTTTCCTTGACTGATGACAGAGTATGCTAGATATACTACGGCGAAACTCGACTATAACGTAAGCTAAATTGCTTTTGTATACATAATATACATAGAATATATCAAGAGGGGGACTCGGAAGATATAACGCATAAAACAACGATAAAATATACTGCACATATCATGGGGAAAGTGAGGAATAACACATAGCATATTGCTGGAGTATATCGCACACATTTATCATCTAGCTGGGGTATATTTGCATAACAAACTGCCAGAGTATAACTGTGTATATTACGTGGTGAGGAAAGGGGTTGTAACTACTTGAGTATGCCGGACCTGTTAGTGGCAGGCGAGGGAGGGGAGAAGAGAAGGAGGGAAGGAGGGGAGAAGAGAAGGAGGGAAGAAGTTAGGGAGTGAGGGAGGGAGGGAGTTGGCTGACCTAGGTTATAATGAAGTAAGCAGAAGGTGTACCAACGGGGGTTGAAAGTTGCTGTTTACTGTATAAGTTTATGTTGCAGCTGTTGCACGATTGTTGAAGTAGTTAGGGCGGACGGAAGCACTACGGAACTGTTGCTTTAACTCGGGAACTTGTGGTCGAACACATCCGCCCGCGCTATAACAGGCAAGTTGACTGCTCCGGCAAGCTGTATCCTGACGCAATACTTGTGGTAATGTTGCAGGATTACAACACAAATAACACATTAGTAAAACTGTTAGCACATGATTGTGTCGTGTATTTGAACCCCCAATCTAACCTTAAGCAGGGTGTCAAAACTGAGGAATTGGTGTAAGATCAGATTTTGAACGCCTTAGCTTGGCATAGATGATATCTCAAAAAAAAAAAAATAAGTACACACTCTGCATTATAAATAGTCGTGGAGATCGTGGGAAAATGTGTACTACAAGAGCAACATTGTCCTCACTTATGGGAGACCTCGTACACATCAACACGTGAGGGCAATGTTGAAGTTTTAACACAAACATTTACACGATCTACACGAAAATCTCTTAAAGCAGTGTATATACATTTTTCTGAGACACCTTGATTATAGTGAGAGTTGAGACGAGAGTTAGGTGGCATTATTCTGTAAGTACACACTTTACTGTTGTAGTTATGAAGACCTTGATGTTATGTTAATTGTCGTCATGAAGAGTATTATCATGTCTTGGTGTGGGTGTCTAGTCAGCCTCTCTCTCTCTCTCTCTCTCTCTCTCTCTCTCTCTCTCTCTCTCTCTCTCTCTCTCTCTCTCTCTCTCTCTCTCTCTCTCTCTCCCTCTCTCTCTCTAAACTAATGACCATACCAGGAGTAGTAACAAGATGTAGTGAGTCTTTAGGTGTGATGAGTCTTGTTTATGCCTCTTTCTCCCCGCCCCCCCGTCAGGTGAGAACTCGGCGTTCATGCAGCATGACGCCCTGCCTGAGACACCTACTGCTGCAGCTGGAGGAGGTGCCGCCGCGCCCCTTCAGGTGTTGTGGTGGTGGCCCCTCCTAATAGTGGTCACCTTGGCCACCTGTGACTTCTTCCACACTCTGCTCACCTGGGTCGACTCCACCACCTCTTACTGCCGCCTCCACCACCACCCACTCCTCCACACTAGTACCACTTGATCTCTCCACCACCCCTCCCCCCTCTCCCCATGTAAACAACTGCTACCGCTCCGTTAATAGAGTTTTATAACTTTACACGTACGCAAGGTATATGTAAATAAATTATATATATGATATGTCCCCTGAAGTGTTGGGTCCAAGTGGATTCAAAATGTTGTCTAAATTTTCTATATAATATATACTGTATATGATTCGATAATATTGTGTGTTTTATTTTCACTGATGATGATGATGATGATGATGATGATGATGATGATGATGATGATGATGATGATGATGATGCGGATGATGATAATGATGACGATGATGATGATGATGATGGTAATGACCGAGAGGTGAGTGTGTGGTGTCAGTGAGGGGGTGATGATACGTATGAGTGTAATGCCATTGAGTGTATGATGCCATTGCGTGTGTGATGTCATTGAGTGTGTGATGATATGTGTGTGTAATGCCATTGAGTGTATGATGCCATTGAGTGCGTGATGTTAGTGAGTGTGTGATGATATGTGTGTGTAATGCCATTCAGTGTATGATGTCATTGAGTGTGTGATGTCATTGAGTGTGTGATATGTGAGAGTGTGCATTGCCATTGAGTGTGTAATGCCACTGAGTGTGTGTGATGTCAGTGAGTGTGTGAGTAACAGATCCTACGCCATTATACCATCGTCCAATACCCACAAGAAATAGTATTAACCCATGTAAGAGAAAGTTAAGACGCCAGTGAATGGATGTGAGAATTTTGTGGCTCAAGAAACGAAGACTTTAAGAAACAGCGACGGACTGAGGAAGCATAAATGACTTAGTGAGGATCTCCACCAAGGGAACCGTCTAGACCGAGTGGGCGGCGGAGACCTGAAGACTCGCCAGACGCTCAAATATAAACAGAGTTGCGGCTGGATTGGTTACTGTTATTTTTTTTGGAGAATTATTACTTTTTTCTAGTTTTAAAGAAATAAAGTATAATTTTATGTGTATTTTGATTTTGTGAGGCTTTTTCTCCACCCCCCACAACGCAGTGAGTTAGCGAGTATAAATAGTATATACCTGTACTGTATAACATGGTCCCTCCCTTCACTGCCATATGTTTTTTACCTCCCGTGACAGTTGTGTTTTGGTGTGACGTCACCTGCCACACCACAGCCACGAGATAGCAAGATATTCATAAGGTTTATATCACAAACTTTGACCAAGAAAACGGAGTGGATAATCCGCTTCCTCAGTATTTTTCTTTTATTAATCACAGTAAAATAGAAGTCTTCTTGCGTTAGTGGTATTAGAAAAAAAAAAATCCATCCAATATTTTCGTTAGACCTCACTGGCAGACTTGACATAAAATTTCAAACCAAACAACTGAAACTTCTTAACAAAAATTAACTATTTCTGAAAACATTTATAATCCCACAAAAGTCATTATTTTTGTCTTTATCTTACACGGAGGAAATAAAAATATATACTGTATCTTTGGACGGTATATTTTGATGCACAGTCGAAGTTTGTTTGTTTATATACTTTTTTACCCGGGAAAACTTCGAAGTCGGGTTTATTTTCCCGCGTAAAAAACTAAAACAAAAGTTCTAATAGGGTGTTCAAGTTGGTCATTCACTGGGGCAGAAGGAAATATATATAGAGGCAGTAGAAAATGGAGTAGAAATTGAAGGAAGGCATTAATCTCTCTCTCTCTCTCTCTCTCTCTCTCTCTCTCTCTTTATTCTACGTCTCTAACTCTCTCTCTCTCTCTTTGGTTGTGAAGATAGTAATCTTTATCTTATTCTAATCTACGTGTCTCTTTCTCTCTGTCTTCTCTGTTTGTCTCTTTGATTGTATCCCTCACCCCTTCTTCTCTCCAATAACCTTATGTTATCACACAAGCACGTCCCCCCACACACAAGCCCCCCCACAAACAAGCCCCCACACACAAGCCCCCACACACAAGCCCCCACACAACACCCCCACAAACAAGCTCCCCCACACACAAGCCCCCACAATGTGTTTTTCTCCCCCCACACACATATGCCCACACACACACACACAAGCCCCCCACACACAAGCCCCCAGACACATATGCCCACAACACACACACACACAAGCCCCCACACAAGCTCCCACATATGCCTCCCACACAATGCACCTCAACAACACACACACAAGCCCCCACACACACAAGCCCCACATATGCCTCCCATACACACGTGCACCTCAACACACACACAAGCCCCCACACACACAAGCCCCCACATATGCCTCCCACACACACGTGCCCCCAACACACACAAGCCCCTGACACACACCAAATCTCACGAACACGTCCCTCCCCCACACACACACACACACACACACACACACCCAACTGGAGCCCAAGATTTCTTCCAAGCTTATTCTCTGCCCTGAATACAGCATGAGACGTCAAGGATGGGCGAGGTGTGTAGGACTGAGGGAGGTAGACATTTGTTGGGGCCCTGACCAACGCCTCATACAAGATGCAGGTCGGGAGGAAGAGATCAGAGTACCTCGTCTTGCAACTCCTCTCCTGCTGTTGTTGTTATTGTTGTTGTTGTTGTTGCTGTTGCTGGTGTTGTTGTTGTTGGTGTTGTTGTTGGTGTTTATGTTGGTGTTGTTGCTGTTGTTGCTGTTGTTGTTGGTGCTGTTTGTTGTTGTTGTTGTTGTTGTTGTTGTTGTTGTTGCTGATGATGCTGTTGTTGCTGGTGTTGTTGCTGTTGTTGTTGTTTTTGTTATTGTTGTTGTTGCTCACCGACGCGACAAAATACGATGATAAACCACATTTTATCATTAATAACAATATAACTTGTAAAATTCGCCTTCCGGGTAGTGTAGGATTATCCCGGACACCGTTGGTAAAGTCCTCACTAGAATATTCTCCTGACGTGAATACCCAGAGAGATTTCCATTCTCTCTAACACTCGGTTCCAGAAGGTACTAATGGATTTACTGTGAGATTCAAACATTTGTACAACAATCTCGGGATTACAACCTGGGTTTAACTACAGAGGGAAAACGAGGAAATGGATTTACACTGCTAGTTCCTCAGTCACTTAGTTCAGTCTTGTATAATGGAGTTGCGAGCTGCTTCAGCCTTCATCACGTAAACGAGGTAGTTAATGACCCGGATGACACGAATACTATTACATTATACACAATGAACGTAATGGTGGGTTAAGACCCTGAAACATAGATCACAACGGCCACCTGTGATGACATCTTAGAGTACTGACCAAGATGTTTGTGTTTGCTTCATGTCTCGTGACTCTTTGTGAGGTAAGTCATCTGAGACGTAAGTACAGAGAGACGGACAAACATGGGTGATATTAACTCCATTTCACACGCCTGGCGGGGTATAATAGAGCCTCACACTGACACGTAATCCTACTCAGAATAATCCTTTGGTGTCTGGCCGAAATATATAATTAATCTTTATATATATGAATGGACTCAGTTCTTTGACAAGATATGAGGCACAGATGTGATGTGGTGTTATATATAGAGGATATATTTTATATTTCTTTATACGGCGTATCATGTATTCTATATGTAAAGATAATTAGCATATATATCTACGATCAAACAGCATATTCATGGTATGTATGTATGTATGTATGTTTACATATGGACTGAAAAATTCACAAATATCTACAAACTCACAGAATTTGAAGCCTCGTTAATGGACGTGTTCGTACACAGACAGGTATACAATAACATAAATGTGAAACACACACACACACACACACACACACACACACACACACACACACACACACACACACCACAGAGCGGAATATGCTCCATTATCACACACTATTTTTACCACAGTTGCTGCCTTCACATATAAGCGAGTGTAGTGGTGTGTTGTGGTGGTAGTGGTATTGGTGCTAGTGATGTGGTTGGTGGTATGGTGGTAGTAGTGGTGGTAATAGTGGTGGTAGTAGTGGTGGCAGTAGTAGTGGTGGTGGTGTGGTTGGTGGGGTGGTTGTGTGGTTGGTGGTGTGGTGGTGTGGTTGGTGGTGTGCTGGTAGTATTGGTGGTGGTGGTGGTGGTGTGTTGGTGTAGTAGTGGTGGTGGTGTTTGGTAGTATTTTGGTAGTAGTAATGATGTTGTTGAAGTGGTAATGGCGAAGGTAAGGTCTGGTCTGGTCTGGTCTGGTCTGTATAGCGTCAGGGACAGAGTGACTCGTAAACAATATTTCGTTAACTTCACATTTACTGAACGCACAAAGGGACTTTTTCTTTTCTCTGTCTCTCCTGATCTTAATTTATACCCTTTTTTACTTTTGTCCTTTGTGTTAGTTTTCGTTTTTTTTTTAATTTTGTTTCGTTTTAAATTTTTTCAACCCCCCTCCTCTCTCTGTCTCTCTCTCTACTTTTCCTCCCAACAGGTCTTGGGCTTAAATTACCCGTCATTAGTCACCTGGATCAGTTACCTGTTGTTAATGACTTGAAGATATCCTTGTCATTAGTTACCTTGGAAAAGTAGCTGTTGTTAGTTACCTGGAGAAGTACCTGTCTCTAGCTACCTGGAGAAGTACCTGTCTCTGGCTAACTGGAAAGGTAAGTATTTATCTACCTGGAGAACTACCTGTCTCAAGTTACCTCACCCTCCCTCCTGTCTTGTAAGGTGTAACAACTTGGGCCAAATAAGTTCCTTAAGGTCAGACTCACCATCTTCACTCAGGAGGTAGAGGGTGATAAAGAACACCTCCCTGACCTTATGAGATATTAATAGACAGTCTAAGATTAACTCGATCACACACAGAATAATTTATGATGACATCACCTTATTTCGTCTGATGATTTAACACTATAACGCTAAGCTAAAGTAAATTACCCTAACCTACAATAGATTAAGTTAACTAAATTAACCTAACCTAATTTAATCTAACCTAAAATAAATATACATAGCCTAAAGTAACCTAAACTAACCAAACCTAAATTAACCTAACCTAACCTACCTTAACCTAACCTAACCCCTAATGTAGCGGGAAAAAAATGAATCGACAGGTAAAAAATAAACTAGGGTGCCTAATCTCCACATGATCTATTATATATATATATGAAGAGAAAGAGTCATATATATGATCATAGCTATATATTAATACATTAAAAACCTATATAAAAAATAAATCACATACTCTGCATTCAAAGTTATCGTATTAACAATTATGAATATTTTGCCGCAGTGTATTATTTAAA